TGAGAATTTAAGTCTTACTCCAGATCCGTACCATAGGCTGCTCCTAGTTGATGGGTACTTGGGCATACAATAAATAAAACAATGAGCCTTCTAGTTGGGTGCCTGTAATAAATAGTAAGATTAGAAAAGAAAGAGGTTCATACTCACTCCTTGCTCCTTGTGATTTTAACTAAATTATTTTACTTGCATATGTAACTTGTTTTTCTAGTTGGCATAGAAAAGTAAAAAAAACATTAACAGCCAAGATAACACTTAGCAATCTGATATGAGTAAGTGGGTTTACAGCATATGAAACATAATGCAATCTGCTCTAGATAAGCAAGTTTCAAAAGGAAAGTTCATAATAACATTGACTTTGAATGACATTTTGATTTTGAAGAATAGGATTATGAAGAAATGAGGAACAAAAATTACCATGCCTTTGCACCAATGAGTATACAGTTCTATGAACTACCACCTGGAAAAGCTATCTGATAAACTTTCCACATTTGGCTGTCATTTCTGTAAGCCCCTCAGCAAATTTACCAAACAACTCCAACGGTAAGACCCTGGGAGTCTGAAGGGACTTAGGCCTGTGTCTTCTACCCCCCTGAACAGTGCCCTCTAGAATAGGGCAGGGATACTCAACCTCGGGCCATGGGTCAGAATCCAGCCCGATGAGCCACATTATCCAGCTCCCATAGCTCCCCATGGGTCTGGAAATTTGGAAGTGGGGAAGTGGTGGCAGTGTTGCTGCTCTCCTGCTGCCCAAAATCTTACATGTTTCCCAGTTACCAAACAATGCATTTACATTTTAAGCAGACAATAGTTTATTTACAATAACAATACAAAATACAGCAAAATGTTATATATTAAAGTTTAAAATTCTTTAGTACAGCTTTGATATTGTAGTGATTAACATTTTAATAATCAAAAACTTGGTGGAAACATCCATGCATTCTCCATTTTTTCTGAATTGCAGTGACTGTACCACTCTGACCTGGCTAGTACAAACTAATAATAAATTCTGTTTGCATATTTTCAAGGATATTTATTCAACGTATCCTTGATCAACTCAGATGCACACACTGGGCATGTCTAGATGGGCGCAGCTTTGCGGTATGTGGCATCGCAAACACATCTGCAGCGCCACATACTGCACAGTTAGGTCTTCTCCGTGCTGCAAGGGCATGCTGCCCATGCATGCAATGCTCTGCTTCCCCATCCCCCTCCACAGGTTTTTTTGACCCTTGGATATCCAGGGGTCAAAAAAACCCACAGAAAAAAAAATGGAGCAGCGCATGCACAGGCAGCAAGGACTGCTGAAAAGCAGAGCTGGTCCGCCCAGAGTTATGCTGTAGCTGCCAGCTAGGCTCCGCCTGGCAGGATCACCACCACTGCAGCCCTGGGAGGCCTCTAGCGCCCAGGTAAGGCTGCTGGAGCCAGCCCAGTGCTGGACCTAGCCTCCTCTACCACCTGCTGGGGTAACTTGCCATGAGCCAAAGTGTGCGTGACACAGGCGTTCCCCAGGGACAAGTAGCTGTGGCACAAGGTGCACCACTGCTACTTGTCCCCATGGAACCAAATGTCTGTGTTTGTCTGGACGCGGCCACTTTGGTGGCGAGTTATATAAATTTGATTCTAAATTGGTATTTCTGATGTCCTAAGAGAAGACCCAGAATATGATTTCTTTTATACTTGATTCCTACTTTTTAACATTGTGCTGTGTATAATATCTGGCATATATTTTCAGAGGCTTCTGACAAAACATTGCAAAGCATAACTGCTACATCTTTGTAACCAGCATTTAAAATGTGGAAATCCCTGTAATTTATTACAGTGATAATTGGCATTTTACCCAACTGCTAAAGCAAAGTACTGGTAACCACAAACAAAACATATCACAGAAAACTCATGTACTAACACATGTACTAGATGCAAGCAGATGATGTGATATGCAAAGTTTGGCCTATACCTACTGAGGTCAATTATAGCTCCCTGTACTTCAATAGCAGAAGGAATATAGTACATCAGATGCTGCAGGATATACATATTTATGAGAACAGTTATAATTGGGGTCATGAACCATTTAGGATTCTTGCATTTTAAAAGATATTTGTTTGCTTAAATTTAATCCACTTCTGACCTTTTAGTTTTGATTGACAGCAATTAAATATTTTGAATACCTTGGTCCTGATGTGAATATACTGAAGGAAACAACTCCTTCGTTGACAGAGCAGATGTACGAGTCCATCTGGTTGATCGTTTCCATTTCTAAATTTCAAGGATACTGGGGTCATAATGACCAATGGGTATAGTTATTGTCATATCCACTCACCATCATGAACAAATAAGATTTACATTGTAAAACTTAGGTTACCAAGTTATATTACCAGGTGCATGCAACTTATAGCCAACAAAATATAAAGTACAAGAGTATTATTAAACAATACTAAAATACAAACCAGATCATGAGAAAAAGTCATGTTAGTCTATAGTGTTTAACCAAAAGGTATATACTACATGCTAATGACACCACAGAAAACAATTTATAAGATCACATATTCCTTCAGGTTGAGGCTAAGACAACTTCTTAAAGTGATTGATCTGTGGCATTCCCTTTGTTTAATGATGATCTCTCTGTGTGGTGCTGTAGAATAGACTGTAATGAGAAATATTCCTGGAGTTTGCTTTAGAGGTGGGTCATAAAGCTCAAGTCAAATGCACCTGCTTTCAAAGTAATATATCTTGCCGAAAGGATCTCTCTCAACCTTTAATCTTGAAAAACACATACAAAATACAGTTTGTATGAGAGAACGATATCAAATACTAAAATGACACTTCATTGCTTCCATGATAGTCAACAGCAAACCTCTCAAAGAGTCTTCCTCAGTGAGACTACAAGCTGACCCACTGTTATCTCACTTTTCTTACCATACCCCCTTAAGTCTACAGACACCGGGTGGCAATATCCCTCACCAGATTGCATTGTATTTGCTTTGGCTTCCCTTTCTCCCTGCCTTCTTTGTTCAGCAATCTGTCTTATCACTGTCTCTTTCTTTGTGTGAAGAAGTCTCCTGAGACAGGCACTGAGTGTTTGCCACCCTTCATTAATAGTGTTTCATGAAAAAAAAAAGTCTTTTAATTAACTTGGCTAGTTTTATATTCACCTCGGCAATAGAATCTGACTGTAGATAGTTGGGGAAGGTACACATTTAATTCCTTTTGTCTAAAAGGGCCGTAAATACAAAATAACATAATCACAGTCTTGTATTTGAATAATATGATGCCCTACAAACTTTACAAATCATGAGTTACTAGAGCGTGCTTAGTACAAAAATTAAATGCAAAAAAAATCTTTTAAAGTCTACAAATGTGATGATAACTTTCTCCATTTAGCTTGCAGCTGAAACCATGCAAAGTGTTTTGCAAAGTCCAAAAAAAATTAGTCCAAAAAGCAGAACAAAATTAGGGCAGAAAAAGTGCTCAAGTTTTAAATTTTTCCCACTGAATTTGTTTAAGGTAAAATCCAGTCTTGTACAGAGAGACAGTATATGTCTTAGCCATCAGACCTTGTACTTCCCACTGAACAAAAGCAGATTTCTGTCCTACTAAAAATGTCATGCATGCTCTTACTTACATTTATATTCATGAATGTTGATGCTGTACATTGTATCCTATGTACAGTTAATAAAATATATTTCTCTTTCCTATAGGGGTGAAAGCTATCATAAAGGGGATATGAGAACAGAAAAACAAATATACCAGTATTGCCCTTCCGCAATGATGCACAGCTTTGAGTTTACTAGCGGTCTATTACTCCATCACTGTATCTATCTAATACATTAGAACAAACTCATTTAATATGTCAAAGAATAGACCAGCCTACTACAATTTACAACCTTTGCTGATTCATTTTCCTCCGGTGTTTATGTAAGCATCAATGACTTTTCATGTTTTAGATTACAAAACACATATAATTATGGTAATAACATAGTACTCCAACAGCACTGTAATGGCATATCACAAAAAAATCCAAGCAATTGGTTAGGAACAAAGCAGTGTGTTGGTTAGGAAGAGCTCTAAAAAACTTTTTGGTTGGGTTAGCTATATCTGTTGAAATGCTTCCATAGAGGAAAGATTGGTTATCTTTATGTGTGTAGAAACATCGGGACATCCCTTTTCACATTCTTTTATAAAGCATCTCACTTTCTTTTCTTATTAAGAAATAAGACTAATGGCGAAAATGTTACTATAGACATGATAGAATAAAACTATATGAACAGTGGAACACTCATCAATGCTGTTCAACTAAAGAGAGACCAGTTAACAACAGTCAAAGCCAAAGTAGTCATATTAATATTATCCTTTATCAAAAATATTTCCCAATCAGTATTTCAATATAGTTACCCAGAGTTAAAATAAAACCTCATCTACTTTGCTAATAAATAAAAAATAGTCTCCTTGTAAGCAAAGTGGGTAAGTCATTTAAACATTTAGGTTATATAAATTAGCACAGAAATGTTTATTTGAACAAGAGCACTGAAAACAGATACGCCTTCCTTTCTTCTGATATCTTTTACTTGAGTTACTGAGTAACACGTGAGCTTTCATGTTTTCCGAATGACCTTGATAGTCTGGCAACCCTAAATGATCAATAGCTGAACCTCAAAAGAACATTTCACCAGATGGACAGCTATACTAACTTGTATACAATCTATGAAAATGTTTTGCAGCTCAAATCAGAATTTCAGTTTCACTATTTCTGGTCATAAGCAGAGAAGAAAGCAGTGTTTTTATATACTGTGGATACCTAATGAGTAAAAAAAGGTAGGATGACTGATCAGTACCTATTTTCTACCAATCAACAACTTCACAGTTAGGGCGGCTAGGAGCTGGAACCAACTTCCAAGGGAGGTGGTGCTGGCCCCTACCCTGGGGATCTTTAAGAAGAGGCTGGATACTTACCTGGCTGGACTCATTTGAGTCCCGTTTTTGTTTTTACGGTTTGTTTGTTTGTTTGTTTGTTTTTTTTTGGGTTGTTCTCCCGCCCTGGCAGGGGGTCGGGCTAGAAGATCTATTAGGTCCCTTCCGACCCTAGAACTATGAAACTATGAAACAATATAGTGTTTCAGAAGTAGGTTTTAAAGAAATGATGAGAGGGGATACACAAGAAAAAAACCAACACTTCCTTTTTTTTTAATTTGGATGAATCTGTTAAATACTGTACACTGGCATTTTTAGCACTGAACCTTGCAAAAACTGCTTAATGGTAAGATATTCTAATCAGGGTTGACAACAGCCAATTAAGTGTCAGAAGAACAATCTGATAAATATGTCTGTATGTCTATAGGCATTTGCTGATAAGTCTTAACTGTCAATCTGAATGTTAAATATCTTTATTTCCATCTCACTATTGATTAACTTATTAAAGGGAAATGCTTTCATCTCTCTTTTAAATTGATTTTAGGGATATTCCAAAAAAAAGGGGGGGAAAGAATATTTCTGAATTTGGAATAATCGGTGGGGACCCCTTAAGTAAAGTAAACCTTTAATATTCAAACTGAGAAGATGTATGGCTCGGTAAAACAACTACCTAACTACCTAGCTGCTTTCATCACCATACAGTTTAAGGTGTCGTATATACTTGCTTTACAGTAAATCTGTCTCTCTAATGGGTGGAAGGATATCTGTGGACATGCTACAAGGCTGTTCTCTGCTTTCAGTGCTCCTTGCTAGTCATACTGAAGACAGCACCTCACTGGACGGATCACCTCTCTTCTTGTCTTCACCTCTTTCAATGTCAATCACATGAACGATGCCAGGCTTCAGGATCAAATCATCAGTTTCTATTTGACTCCGACTATCTTCCACCTCCACATATTTCCCTTTAGACTGCTGGGTAGCCTTACTGAAGACATCTTTAAAACGATGCTTGAGTTCAACATCTGGACAGTAGACATATTCATAAAGGGCACCTGCAAGGACTGCTCCTATTATAGGTCCTAACCAATACACCTACAGAGAGAGGGAAAAATGCAACAGTACATGTTGAAAAAAAAATGGATTTCAGAGAAAAGTGCCTCTACTTTAGACTTTAAAATAATTGGTGTCCACCAAACCACTTGCCTGGAGCTCTTAACCATCCTTACCATGCACATGCACTTACTTAGGTACTTCTGTGGCTTTTCCTAGCACATCTGATGAACTTTCCCTCCCAATGGACTTACAAGATTGAGAGGTGCTATTATTCCCAGTTGTACTAATGGAGGTGTGTCTGAGCTGCAAACTTACCAAGCCAAGCTGTAGTACCTAAAATACATTACTGCAATGTGCAGGTTGTCTCCTGAGCTGGAAGCAATGCAGCTATACTTCTGCAGTGATGCGTCTGGGCTAATAAGTTCCAGTGACTCAATGTTCATTAGCTCAAACACAGAGCCATGCAAACCTAGCTACATGCTTTCAGGTTTAGAAACTAGCACTTTTAGAGTGATGCTGGTATGTTTTAGCATGTTTCAGTAGACCACCACTTTGCAGAGTAAAGACTCATCCTCAAGTCCTCAGTGTCTCTGTTCACAGGCTCACAAGTCTTTTTCCTTTCTCTGAAAAGGGGAAAATATACACAAAATCCCACCTAGACATCCTGAATGGTACCATCTGTAGATTTAACAGCTCAGACGCTCCTCTTAAACTCTTTGTGCTTTCATGATAAAGCCTAGAAAACCATGGTGAGCACAGAACAACAGGATATGGAGAAGCTACTAAATATCTTTAATTTTAGGAATGTTAGTGATGTAGATCCACCATTTCCCTTGTTCTTTTAAAAAGAGAGACCCAAACATTAAGTTACTGGACTACTGGAGCAGATTGGCTGGTACATAGGCCAAGGATACTGGGACTCAGAAAGGTCACAAAAAATGCCTCTTTCCACCTACAACCTTTATGTCTCCAAACAACTCTGTGCAATATTCCTCTACCAGTGGACAATATCTTGTACATTATTCCTTACCTACTCCTCAGTGATGACTAGTGGTAGTTGATACTGATACTGGTGGTCCCAGGAAGCATTGCTGGGCTTCTTGATATGGAGGTTACTTGTGCCTCATGCCATTCCCTTGTGCCATCTGTCTCTGTTAATGACAACTGACTAGCTTTTCTTTCAGGGAGCAGAAGGTCTGTAACCTGATGCTGAATTTTGCCCAGTGAGGCAACATTCAAGTTCTTTATCAGCCAAGTCCTGATGTTTTCCACATTTCAAATGCTTGGGACCAGTACAACTATGCCTATAAATTTTTCTCTATGGAGAAAACAAGGGAAATGGTGGATCTACATGAAAAGGCCCCTTGTGCAGTCACTTGCCCCTATGCCAAACAAGTGTGGGATGCCACTGTCCTGATGTGGTAATTTCTTTTACACTTTGCACAGGTGAGAATGATGGCCCAAGGGGCAGTGCAGTAAAGATTTAGGCCTCTTTATCTTCAACAATAGAGCAGTTTTGTGTGATTTTAGCTGGTATGTATGTACCCTGTCATGAGGCAGCCTCTAAATGGCTTTTTGTTTGCTGAATTGTCAGTTAAGAACCTCATTTTATTTGCACTGCTTGCAAGGAAGCACAAAGAGAATAAAACTCTAAGCAGCAAATTGGTTTGCTTTTTGCATTTCTACTCAAGATGATGAGGTGTTTGTGAGGAAAAGAAACCTTTTGAAGCATATGCAGAAATAATTCTATTTTTAGGATCATGTTTTCAGGAGAATGTAAATCCATAATTTTGAAATCATAGAATGCTTTATGTACCCAGCTTCTGTGCAGACACAACAGGCAGTTAGGTACGTAATTATTCTTGGATATGCAAATATAGTGCACACACACATACATCCCTGGTGTGTGGTCCTTAATATGACTCTCAGTAGTCCTGTAGAATAAGTGCCTCTGCTAATAGCTGGGGACCATCTCTTTTGCAATAGTTAGGACAGAAGTTACACCCTTTTAAAATGTTGCTACACAAAACCTGATATGCATATATATAATTGACAGGTTTTTACCCTGTTTTGACTCATTTAGAATTGAAAAATGTCAGTAGTTTTTAATAAGAAGAAACCACTGACTAGAAACAGAGAAAATCTCTTTCACTAGGATGCAGGAATAAAGTTACTGCCATGGGTGTTTGCAGGATTGGAGCCTGATCCCCCTCTAGCTGAAGATAATGGACATACAATTATCAACTCCAGTAGGAGCACTATAGGACCCACAACTTCAGATTAAGAATAAACTGTCTCTCTTTCCAGGCGATTTTCTTAAAGATAATGCTAGAATATTTTTAATATTGAATATTAAACTGGACTAGTTTATGGTACGGTAGCACAGAGAATTCTAGTTTTACAATTGGCATGTGTGCTATGCAGAAATAAGTATTTGAAATTGCTGGGTTGGAACAGACATGTAACTTTTTGCTAGTGTGGAAGGTGTCTGGTAATCTCATGTTTCTGAGCTTTGGCTGTCATCTGAGGCATGGAAGAATTTTTTTCTATTCATGGATGTTACTAGCTTCTGGGTTTGTTTTTTTACCTTCTTTTGAAGCATCAGGACATTAGCCACACCCAAGGCTGGGGGCATTTTGACTGGGGTGGTGGTGGTGGGGCACTAATCAGTGCTTAGAAAACCCTTAGTTTCCAAGCTCTTGCTCTTCCACTAACATCATACTGAATGACAATCTGGGTCAAGAATAAGTTTTTCCTTGGGTTAGAGTGACACAGACTGTGGGTTTTGCCTTCTTTTCTAAGCTGGGCCATGGTCTTTTCCTAGGATCTCCTGAGCATACATTAACCAACTGCAGTAGCAGGGCACTGGAAGTGCCCTCACCTTCTCTGCTTTTACCTATGGCATGGTGTTGCAGGCTGTTGGTGTTTCAGGAGTCAGTTTGTATTTGTGTGTGAGGGCCTGCAGCGGTAAGTTTGGGGATTCCTTGAGTAAGGACTGTCTACAAAGGCAGGTGACAGGACTCTGTGGTCCTATTCTAGGTTCCTAAGCATCTGTAAAAATGCTTTAAGTTTAATTAGGTGAAGCTACACACACATTATCCATTTCCCTCTATCAAATATTGAGTTGTTGATAAAACCTTGTAAAGAATGAGTTAGCTGGTTATGGCATCGTCATCATCCATGATGATCTCTTAATTAAAACAGCACCCATACCTGTACTCCGAATTGAGCTGACGTTGGCTAATCAGAATAGGTAATATCTGGTCTGTCTCTTTAAAAGGCCAGATTGCAAACACCTTATCTCACCTTGGTGAGCAATTTAGTCACTCAGGGTTCCTATACGCGTGCATAGAGCCGGCTTCAACATGCTGGAAATCCAGCTTGTCGGAGCAGACTTGATTAATCGAGTGGAAATTACCGCGCTCCAGCAGACTCTAGTGTCATGTGTATCAGCGTCCCTGTGCTGAAAAAGGGTGGCAAGGCACTTTGAACTAAAGCTCGTTTGATGAGTTTTAGTTCAAAGCGCCCTGCCACCATTTTCAGCGCAGAGGATGCTGATACACATGATGTGCAGGTGCTTTTAATTAGCACAGCTTGCTAATTAAAGAGCCCCCTCATGCCTTCCAGAGCACATGTAATATGCCCTCAGGTAGTCTCACTGAAAGCAGCCCAAAGAGGGTCAGCTCCCTTATTTTGTATGTCTGGCATGATTTGTTTTAGGACTAAGAGAAATGTGACACCTGTGGGAATCCCTTTCTCTCTCCAGTAGCAACTACCTTAAAAAAATAACCTCCCAGTCTACAATACACTACAACTATTCATCCCATCCTGAATAGAAAGAGCACAACATTAAGATGTTTACTTTAGACAAAGTACAGATAAATATGGTAAAGCACACAGCAGGGTCAGTGCCTACCTTTCCCATTAATGGTCTGTGTGGAATGTGCTATGAAGAACAAGAAAAAAGTTGAGGGGAATTAAAGAAATGCTTGGTGGCTATTCATTGTAATGGTAAATGAAACATAAATGTAGGGTTACCCATTGGTTTTCCCATTTTCCCATAATAACAGCAGGTCCAAATGATCGAGCAGGGTTCATACTGGCACCAGTGTAGTTGATCTATAAAAATATAAAAGGTTAAATGTTATTATTATTAGAAGATTAGTATTCAGCCAATGCTAGTCACTACTGTCATTTGCTGCAATGTAGGAATCTCTAGTTTTGTATTGCTGTTCATTATTGTAGTATTAGGGGCATTATCATCCTCCAGTCCACTTACCATTCTGCTCATACAACTAACAAAAGCATCACATAAATAGGCAGATAAGTCCTAGAGTAACGTCCTCTCTGGAAAGCCTCCCTGTTGATTTCTCTGAGCTCTGGGTTGGATCCACAGCAGCTGCAAAGGCTGCAGGCTCTCTTGCCTAGTTCTGGAGTGGGGATGCTGGAAAATCTCTATTACTGAGAAGCCATTCACTTACCGCAAATAAGTGTCCAATTGCAACAGAAAATCCAATTGCTAAAGCTACTGAACCAGTGACGTCTTTTCGTTTTGAATCACAGCTGGCAAAAATAGTAAAAACCAGCTGGAATGTAATTATCAACTCCACCAGGAGTCCATGGCCAGCGGAGAGATTGCCATGTACCTGGGAAAAAAAAAGAAACAGAGATGAAGCAAATGTGAGTCTGCAATTCAAACAGGCACTCAAATTTTAATTGTTTTGTGATTAAGACAGTTTAAAATGGTGCACAATGATGAAACACCATTGCACTTTATAGAGGTTTGAATTAATTTTCCACACTTTTTATTCTGACAGCCATAGAAAATTCCTGTTAGACTGATGAAGAAAGTTCTACGTTATTCCACTAAGAACTTCAAAGTTAAACTGCAGAGCACAGTTGACTTTTACACAGGGATTTGCAAATGCTGCACTTAAACTTGCACAATTTTCTTCTTGGGAGCACTGTAATATACTATTCAATTATAAATTCATTAATTAGCCCCAACTTAATTAATTTAAATTTCAATTAAAAATTAAGCCGTATGCGGCTCAAGTGCATTTTAATAAGTCCTGCAACAGGGCTAACTGATGGCATTCCTTATTAGTTTAGAACAAAGCTGAAATCTAAGGCACAATCTATTTCAAAAGTGTGTCATTTTAAATTGATATTTTTTTCAATCACCATTATAAAGACATAGAATTAATTTCCTACACAATTCATCTTAAAGTTGTATTTCATGCATGTATTATTTAAATTGTGTGTGTAAATTAGCATTACCTGTCTTCATCAGATTTGGGGAAGTTCTAGAACAGAAAACTTCTGTAAAATAATAGCTATGAACTTGTCCTAATGAGAACTTAAAAAAATCTAGGAGTTATAAATAAGCCAGCAATAACCTTAAAGCATCACTATGTAACAGTAACTGTATTGTCTAATTATTCTGCTTTAAGAGTAGGAGCAAAAGTTGTTACCATAGTAACTCCCAAGCCTCCCACCACATCTCGGGGTGTGACAAGGTAGAGAAGTCCTGCCCCTGCAATAGCACCCAGGCACTGGGCAACAATGTAGAAGACAGACTTGGCAAGGCTGATCTTCCTAGTGCAGACCATAGCAACAGTCACAGCAGGGTTAATATGGCCTCCACTGATGTGTCCAAAACACTGCACCATAGTTGCAATGCTGAGTCCAAAGCAGAGGGAAATAAGGACCATGTCTACAGGTAGAGGCTTTTCAGATCCACCCCAGTTGATTGTAGAGCCAAGGCTGAGGAGGACAAAAATTAGCATGGCCAAAAATTCTGCTGAAACAGCTTTCCAGAAAGGCTGAGTCCAGACTCCTTTAAATGCCACCATGATGGTCTCACACTTACACAGGCGTCCACACTTGCTGAAAAGAAAAACAAATCTGTATCAAAAGACACTGAATCAGCCTCAAGTTTTGCAGAACAGCATCGTTATCTGGCAGATTTTCTGGGGGCAGCAGCAATGTCAAGCATTCTGAGAGGTTCAACACCAGAATTATGCATTGTGAGACAAGCTGCCCTTGAAAACATCGGTAATATTTGAGGACCTTTTCCCACAGGGGTAGGCAACTTCCCGCACGTGTGCCAGTGTGGCAGGCGAAGGCATTTTGCTTGGCACACACCCCTGGGCAATCAGTGGAAGACCCACGAGGGTCCGATCCTTGTTGTGGCAGTGCAGCTCTGGCCCCTTCCCTGCCATCCACCTCGAGATGCATATACATCCACCACTGGCAATGAGGTGGGCCAGGCTCTACAGACCCCCGTGCAGCTGCTTGCAGCCTCTCCACTGCATGGTACAAGCAACCCGGGGTCCATGGCAGGTGGCAGAGGCCTGCCCAGAGCCTGATCCAGTTATGGCAGGCAGCCAGGAGGTGCATGCACCCCTCAGGGTGGATGGCAGGGAAGGAACTGAGGCTGCGTTGCCACAACAAGGATCAGGCCCCTGGTGGCTCCCCCACTGTCTGCCCCTGGCAGGCCAACATCTTACAAGTTGAGGTTGCGGGTGTTTTTGGCACTCTCCCCAAAAGCATTGCTAACCCCTGTCTCAGCATATTGCACTCTGCAGGACAATACCCCCATGTATTTGATAAAGGAAGTCTAGGGAAAATCGGGACTTTTACAAAGTAAACCCAATAGTTCAGTAATGCCAAGCTCTCAGCTAACATCCTTATTGTGATTTCCCTGGAACTGCTTTTATAAGAGAAAGTCTTTTTGTTTTGTTATTGATTCAAAACCATATTTAAAAATGTATGTATGCGCAGACAACAATCTCTTCACCCTGGAGATGGTGTAGAAATTAATTCAGCCACAAGGACATAAAATATCCTAAATTTTGGCCCCTGAATCAAACATTCAGTAGTTAAGCTGTTTTTTTCTGGCTGTGCTTTTAAGATGAGAAGAGAGATACAGTGATTTAATTGTATGGGTGGGGGGGTCGAGAGCTCTGTGCAAGAAGAAAGAAGTGTTTTGGTTTCAACTCTGCACCTGCTCTGATATTTATTAGCTACCCTGCTTTCAGGAGTAATTACATTTTTGTTAAATGCCCAGAGACCCAAGAAAGTGGGTCACCATAGAAAAGTAATTTGTAGTATTAATAAATTAGGTGAATCAACCAAAAGGGGAGATTTTTATGTATTTCCAAGAAAAGAAAACAAGACTGGCAAAAAAGAAAAAGGGAAAAGTTAAAAAGACTGGTTAAAGAGAAAAAATGTAAAAGAAAAACGTAGTGAACAGCTACAGCTTACAGCAGCAGCTTACAGCAGCATTTTAAGTGGAAGGATGGAGAAGTGTAATAACTGGTTATGTGAGGAAGCTGAGCTACACACCAAACACAACTTACATCTGAAGAAATGTGTTGAATGAAGTATCTACACAAGAGTGCATATGGCCCTTTCAAGTTACCATGAACACAAAAGCCCAGAACTTCCTTATCTCCTTTCTGACCCTGTTTTGCTGTGCAATCTTGGACAGATCATTTAAGCACTGCCTCAGTTTTCCAACATCTGAGATAAGAACAGTAATCACCTCACATATCTCCTTTGGCCATTATGAAACTTAATCAATTGCCTAGTATTTGTGAAATGACGTGAGACCTTTGGCTAGAGGTTGCCCTGTTAGTTATGGGCCAAAACTGAAATTTCAGACTGGACTGCTTAAAAAATTTCACTACCCAGATATAAACACTGCCTCTAGAGTTTGGGTTTTAGGTAAGACTCCGGACGAAAAGAATTAAAAATCTAGGGCTAACCCTTTAATTTCTAAATGGCACTATCTTCACAAGTTTGACATCCGAAAAAACTACTTCACAGTCAGGGCGGCTAGGAGCTGGAACCAACTTCCAAGGGAGGTGGTGCTGGCCCCTACCCTGGGGATCTTTAAGAAGAGGCTGGATACTTACCTGGCTGGACTCATTTGAGTCCCGTTTTTGTTTTTAGGGTGAGTGGTTTTGTTTGTGTTTTTTGGGTTGTTCTCCCGCCCTGGCGGGGGGTCGGGCTAGAAGATCTATTAGGTCCCTTCCGACCCTGAAACTATGAAACTATGAAAGTTTACAGCTTCAGACTATGGAAATCTTGCAACAACAGCCACGCTGGCAAAGTTTCAATCATTTAAAATAGCCACATTTTACAAAAAGCTGTTTATATAAATTTGGGCCCAAATTTGAATCTTAACCCTGATTCTCACATTAAGCCAAACTCGATCATTATTCGAGGTCTAATGCAGATCCAGCTAAAAATGACCTTGTCAGCAGCAACTTACACTAGCAGACTGAGGGTAGGACAGAGACAGGAACTGCCTAACTATGACTCTGGATCCGCTCTTGCATCAGTGTGCAATGTTAGCCCATGCACAACCTCTCAGTGCCTCATTTTCCTCCTCTTTAAATAGGTACAAAAATATGTTCTTACCTTATCAAGGATATTATAGCCCACTGGGGACCAACGTTTTGATCAGTCCCTCGTCCACCCTTAGTGCTCCACCAATTCCCTTCCCCTTCCCAATCTGATGCTCTGCTTTCTGCTTCCTTCCCTATCTGTCACTGTGGTGCTTGTCCCCTCCTTGATCTGTCATATTGCACACACACACACAGGCTGCCTGTGACAGTTATGGCGTGCATGCTGCAGGTTGGTCACTTCAATTATAACCTACCCTTTGTATTAGCAGAATGCAGGGGAGGAGAAAGGACCCCTCTTCCTTGTACCTCTTTGCCACTTTCCACTGCGTCTAGCAAGCAGGGAGCAGCAGGATCTGCAAAGTGCTCACATTCTCCTACCTTTCTATAAACTGACTGATGTGGACAAGCAAATGTGTCTGTTGGCATACTTTCATTGGCACATAAGAAAACTTGTGTGTCATGTATCAGCTTGGTGTAGTGTACCCCTCTTTGAAGCTGTGGAGACGGATACTGGGAAACTAGAGACTAACTCTGGGCATCACAGTTTTTCCTGGGCTGTCTTGTATAGTGGGCACAGTAATCCTGCATGGCTTATTTAAATATGTTTACCTTAAAAATGCAAAAAATGCTATATAAGAGCCAGGTATTATTATCAAAGCGTAACATAATGAATAGTGAGAAGCTGTTTTCCAAGAGAAGGCGAACTCCTATCCTGCTAATCCTAAGAGCACAATGATTTATTCAAAATGTTTGATTCTCTCTGCACACAGCTCTTTTAGCATCCTGCAGGCATGGGTGTGCCAGCATGGCTATAAAGCTGTAATTGTACACTCTTAACTGTTGAGAAGATTGGCAGACTGGTCTAGAGCAGGGGTGCTCAATCTTCTACCCTGTCCCAGGCTGGATGAATGGTGCGGGCCTGGTTTGCAGGCCAGATCCTGGGGAGGGTTGGTGTGCAGGTACAATTCCATTCACTGGCTCAACCCTGTGTGGTGGTCTGATCCTCGCACGATGACTGGCCATGCACCGCTTAATTCCACATGCTGGATCTGGCCACAGAGTGATTCCATGCACTGGCCTTACCATGGACTGGTGTGATCTAGCATGCAGGGCCATATCATTGGCTTGCAGGGCTCTGCATGGGTCTAGAAACTTGGCAACAGGAGAGTAGCAGTTAAAGATGCCACTGTTCCCCTGTTGCCAAGATTCCAGACTTATGGGGAACCCCACCACCGGATGACACCACCCTGAGGGCTGGATGTTCAGCACCTCTGGTCTAGAGGACAGTGTAGTGAACTGGGAATCAGAAGACAAGGGCCCATGAGGTTTAGGTCTCAGTCTTCCACTGATCTGCTGTGTGACCCTTAGCAAATCACTTCATACCTCTGTGCTTGTGTTTCCCCTATGTCCTTTAGCTGTTAGAACTATTTAGATGATAAACTATTTGGAACACAGACTTCTCTATGCTGCTAGGCACTGTATGAGCATGTAGTTAGAGTTGCAATCTTGATTATGGCCTATAAACAGAGTGTGAATTAAGGGGGAGCTCTGGAGGGAGGGGGGGGTCTGAGCCCCATTGTAAGATTTTAAAATCGTAACCTGGGGGCCCTCCAATTGGATTGCTCCTTCACTTAGGTGGACTTGTTCATGAATGAACTGTTTTTGGGGTTTTTTTGCAGACCCCCCTCTAAGAGTCAAAGTATAATTCAAACCCTGCCTATAAACATTATTGTAAAAGAAATAATAAAGTCCACTTTTTAAAACTTTGCCTAATATTACTTCAACAAATGAAATGAGCCGCACATAGTTAATGCAAGCTTGCTACAAACAATGCCATGCACTTCAATTGCTCAAATTCTTTGGGAATAATAGGTGTATTAGCAAAGGCATCTCTGTAGCAAGCTGGAGCATTTTCAGCTCTGCTTTGGTACAGCTGTTTGTAGCTCAAATACTCATTACTCACTTAGATGCATACTTATGTCAGCTGTTTGGCAATAGGCTTTTCTAATAAATGTGAGTTTGTTTTCAAACTGATGCACTTACCAAACACGTGGTACTTAGAGTACCACATGCTTGTGGTACTTCTGTGGGGTGAGCGTGGGGCAGCAGAGAGGTGCAATGCTGAGCTTTTAACTGCACAGGTAGAGAATAAAGAAGTATTTGGGGTGGGAAATGCTTCCAGGGAGGCAGTTAGAAAGAAATACTGGGGGAAACACTGCTGTTCACCAGCCCTCCTCATGGACAACAGCAGCAGGATCCCAGGCACCTCCAAGGAAGCTCTTTTTCACACAGCCCATCCTTCAGGTGTGCAACTATGGAAGCCGACACTTTAGCCAGATCTAAAGAGGGACTGGACATGGGCTTGGAGGAGCGGGGCAGTGGGAGTGAGGGGCATGGCCTCTGAATTGCAGGGTCTGGGACTCTGGACCCCAGAACCCGTGATTCAGAGGCCATGCCCCTCATTCCCCTGCTCCCACTGCCTCTCTCCTCCAAGCCCATGTCCATAGGTGACTGGTAGCTGGTGCACGTGCCCCCCTGACGGGGCCGGTGCCCTCCCTGACAGCCAACACTGATGCTGTTGGTAGGGCTGTTCCCCCCTGACAGGGTCAGTGGCTTCTGCAGGTGTGCCCCCAGGTTCAGGAGGCACCAGGCACTCATGCCCATGTCCAGTCCCTCTCCCAGACCCTGGAGGCTGCAAGTGGGAGAGGAACAGTCAGGGCTGGTCCACGGGTAATTGGTGCCCTAGGTGAACTGTGAACCTTGGTGCCCAAAGGGTAGGAGTCGTGAGTTTAGCGATCTTTCCTCTGAGACCTTTTCAGAGGTCTTTCTCCCCTTACTGAACCACAGGTCTTAGACCAAAGTGGAGCCCTAGCCAGCTAGGGCTGTTATTGAGAATGATGTTCCTGTTATTTTGTTCTGCATATCATTTTGGTGCCCCTCCCACCAAATTTTGGCACCATGCTAGGCAACCGTCTAGTTTGCCTAATGGTTGGACCGGCCCTGGGAACGGGGGTGGGGATAAACCCCCTGCTCAGTCCCACTTGGGCCAGCAGAGCCGGAGGGGCCCAGGGTGTGACCCCGTCCGGGGCAGCTCTTCTGGGGCAAGGGGGCCCCAGCAGGTGGCTTGCTCGAGGCGCAGCCCTGCATCGCGCTTGCCCGTCACCCCCCTTGGGGTTGATGCCCCCGGCCAGTCCTCCTGCCTGCCCCCGGCGAGCTGCACTCACAGGCCAGGGGCTGCTCCGCGGCTGCGCTCGGGCAGGACGGGGCCGGGGGACCGGGACGGGACACTCAGTCCTTGGCCGGGCGGAGAGGGCGGCAGCGGGGAGGGGGACGGGGCTCCAGCTGCAAGGAGAGACCTCGCCTCGGATCCACCTCCACAGCAGGCGTTTAACCCGCTGCTGCCCA